TCATTAAAATAGAACCCAAACAAGGGCTAAATCAAAGTAATAAAATATAAGGAGGTACCATTATAGTAGAAAATCATAATAACAAATATATGGATGGAAATTGTGAATGAACGACTTCCGTAGTGGCGAATCGAAGAAAAAAAATTATAAGGAGGTTCCATTTTAGTAGCAAGTCAAAGTAACAAATATATGGATGAAAATTGTGAATGAACAACCATTATAGTAGTAAATCGAAGTAACAAATATAAAGTGGCACCATTGTTGAGATCGGTTGTAAAATTCAAACAGCCTCTTATAACCATCAATCTCCAACTGTCCCACAATTTTTTTATAAATTGCCATTACATAAGAGAGAATTGACGTGTGTGTATTATGGGTTTATTTTCACTCCAAAAAACACGTTGAGCAAGATGGACCAAACAATATTAGACATAAATAAGAAGAAATATATCTTGTCAAATTTAACTGTGTTTAGTCTTTTGTATGAATCGTATCATCATATATAATGGACACTTGGGTGAAATATTTTGACATTTTAGATTCCTATTTTCTCTTGGGATATTCAATATTCATATTTTCTTTTAGAAATTGACTTGTGAATGCAACACACTGGTCAAGCCGAACCTAACTCAACTAGCCATCAAGACTTTGTAGGGATTAAGAAAGAAATTTAACCGTTGATAAGAATGAAAGAAAATGACTTTAATGCTTTTTTTTTCATACAATTAAATAAATTGCTTACAAGTTTCTTGTTTCCTACTTAATTTTTATTAAGTAGATGATTGATTTTGACAACTGGGGTTGGAAGAATTTGGTGTATTTTGCTTGAAATAATCTGTTTTATGATATTGCGACGTGAGTGCAATGCTAGGGGTCAATGATTGCTAATTCTTAGTTTACGAGAAAATTGGGGTCACTTGATACTGAACCACCGTGTAAGGCTGGGCAAGAAAGCAATATTATATCTGGTAATTTATTCTCCGTCCGGTACGCGTTCTTTAGACTCGTTTTTCCTTTTAACTTATTTTCACTCGTATTCAAAATAAAATAACTTTTTGCTTAAATCCATAACTTTCTTTACATTTTAACCACACATTCTCCAAATAATCACTTTTCTCAGAATCTATTCTCAAAAAATATATATCAAACGCTATAATAGATTGTACTAAACAGACAATTATTAAATTTTTTCAGTTGCATATTTTCTTTAACTACATGTCCAATCGTATAATTTCACATACACAATTTGAAGTTTTGGTAAAGTATCATCGTGTAAAAAAAAAAAAAAATTAAAAAAATTATACCACAGATGATTTTTTTTTTTTTTATATTCAGGTATCCACCTACGGCGACTAATCTTGAAATTTACGCCTTGGCCCCTCAAGACTCAGACCAGATAAACAGCGGGATGTGCTCTAAACTGATCAGAGTTCAAGAACCCCCTCCACTGATCTGCCAAAGTGCAAACTTACAGGATTTTGTTCATAGGGTCGGTCAATACAAGTGGATTGTCTCCCCCGTAAATGATTAAGTCAAAAAACAGTTTTTGGCTTAATCAATTACAGGGGTACAACTGTCCCCCTATATTCACTATGTCAACAAATCCCCTGTACTCGAGAAATTTCACACTTCGAGCAATCTAGATATGTTGAGGGGAAAGCAGGAGCCAATTGGGAGGATTGCTACGATAACTAAACATCTCAGTAAATTATTGTATACCTTTATGCGAAGAAAATGTCTTGATGCATGCTTAAGACAGTCGAACTTCTGTATTTGGACAGATTATGAAAGTTCGTGGGCTCTTATCTTTGGAGAATTAGTTGTCTGTAAAATGAATTAAGGTTTGACATCATTAATTAATCAAAGTTCTTTTGCCTCTTTTTTTTTTTTTTTAATTCCCTTTTTTCTTAATTAAATTACCTTCAAAGGTCCCCTTAGAAACATCGTGTTCCCCGCCTGTTCTCCCTTAGGTGAAAGTCAATCTTTCGATGTGTAGATGAGGTAGCTACACGTATTAAATTATTTAAACATCTTTTATAACGTAAAGTAATGAAAAAATTTCAATTCTCGTCCTTAACTAGAAAGTCAAAAAGTGTGTTCACTTAATGATTGAGTGGATGGCGATTCTGTCGAGACACTGAAAGTTAAGGGAAAATTATAGTAATGCTCCCCGATATTTGATGAAATAAGCACTTGAATCTCCAATTAAATACCTCCGACATCGAATTTTCAATTTCCATCAAAGCGGCCTGCTTACAATTTCTATAAGAATCGATGAATTTTTTATTCTAATATCTTCAATATCCAACGAAATAGTATATGTTAATTATCGATATATTGTCGAATCTTCGAGTACTTTAAAGTATTATTCATTATTTCGTCGTTGTTTGACATTCATTTTCTAAAACTCATTTTTTCTCAAATTCATTTTCAAGTGCATATTCTCCTTATAAAATAATTTTACACGTAAATTCAAATTATTTTTTTTTTTCATTTTTTAACCTCATGTTGTCAAAAAAAAAAAACTCAACCTTTCACAAAATTTGTTCTTAAAAAATCTCTACCAAATAGAGATTTCGTATATTCGACTGCATCAATACCTAATTTACACAAAATAATAAGAAAAGCATGCTTCCAAGATAACGTTTTTGGTGTACAAGTAGTCCAAATAAGTGTCTTAACTCTTGATGGTAGCCAAAGGAGGCATTGTTGACACCAGTCAAGAATTTGTTCTTGAAAATCTTAAATGCAATCGCTTGACTTCTTATTTCTTGTTTTGTTATTATTAAATAAATGGACACGTAATGACTCGGTAGTTAGGGAGTAAGAAAAGTATCCGAGTAATGATATTTAGTATCTTTAGTGTTACAACAACAATCTATGCGACATTAAATGACATAATTTTATATTTAATTGAATGTATCATATAATGTCACATAAAGTGATACTCTAACACTGCTGATCTTAGATAGCATCCACTTTTGTCTCAAAATTGGTAACAACTCCCTCAATGAACACATTTTCTCACATTCTACTAAGGCCTTGTTTGATAAAGTCTTTGGTAAAAAAACTTAACAGATTATGAAATATGATATTGAAAAATTAATAAAAGTCGTGAATCCCATGAAATATTATGTGATTAAAAGTGAAGACCAATTGAAAAATTGATAAAATTTTAGCAAATAAGCGCTAAGAAGCCCTATCCAATTTATGATGCATTTGATACGGGGGAATAAATAATATTAGACGATAAATTTGATATTATTAGTAGATTGTAATAGAAGTTTTTGAAATGTGTTATTGAAAAGATGTGGGATCCATGAAAAGTGTAATTAATATTGATTGTTTGATTTTGATTTAGATTAAAATCAGATTTTAATTCGGTTCAAACATGCCCTTAGTAAATAAAGACTCACTCTCTGTAAAATCAAAACGACTATACCAATGAAAAATCGTGAGAATTGGCAAGAAATTAACAGTGGAGTGGTTGGGAAATAATAATACAAGGAAAGAAAATGGGACAAAGGCATATTGAGATTTCTGATAAAAAGAAGCTTTATTTATGTTATTTTAATAAAGGAAATCTTGTTTCACCTTTTTCACAACAAAAGATTCCTCGTACAATTTCTTCAATTTTACGTTGGATGACTCATTGCTATTAGTCAACAGTTATGTTGACTTCTAAACTTGATTAGTAGACTTCAGTCCGAGAAATATGTGGAAAAAAATGATCGAATTTCAATTATCTTAGTATAATTTTCAATGTTAGTTACTGTTAAGAATTGAGCTTCCATCTTAAAAGATCAACTTTATTAAGATGTGTAACTCAATTCTTTATAAATTGGTTTATGTTTACATTTCTATTCGATGTGAAATTTTATCTCTTAACATGTCCTCGCAAGATGATAGTTCGTTTGAGCATACCAATCTTGAAATCTGTGTGCTCACTTTTTGGATTTTTAACCGGATCGAATTGCTCGTTAGAATTTAATGGACACTGATACCATGTTAAAATTTGTGGTCCCATTTTAAAAGGACAACCTTATTAAGAGGAGTAGCACAAACTCTTATAAATTTGTCTATATTNTCGAATTGCTCGTTAGAATTTAATGAGCTCTGATACCATGTTAAGAATTGAAGTTCCATCTTAAAATGTCAACCTTATTAAGAGAAGTAATCAAATCATTTATAAGTTGGTTTATGTTTACGTCTTTATTCGATGTGAGATCCTATCTTTTAATAGTTACAAGTGTGGCAAATTTTGTACAATGCATTAATTATTTCAAAAGTTATTACGACCAAATTATGACAATCTACTGACCATTGGGTATCGTTCATCGCATTTAATAGTGTTGTAACAAGAAATTATAATTATCAAGATTTAGTGTGTGTTTGGTAGGGATTTTTTGGGGGAGAAATTGATTTTGAATAGTGATATGATGGGAAATGTGCGGTTGAAAAAGAAGATAAAATTATTGATGTGATAGAAAATATTATTTTATTGAAGAATGTGTGGTTGAAAATGAGAATTGATTTACTGTTGAAAATGAGAATTTTTACCAAACATAGCCTTATATTTTCCACATTTTTATCAAANTGATAGATAATATTATTATATAGAAGAATGTGTGGTTGAAAAAGAGAATTGATTTACTGTTGAAAATGAGAATTATTACCAAACATAGCCTAATATTTTCCACATTTTTATCAAAGAAAAATCAACAATATCCTTACTTCAAGTATGTTTCTTACAATCCCTAATAATTTTTTTTCCATGGCAAATCTCATAAGAAAAATTTATAAAAATATTATAAGGTTAATATAATAATATGATTGCTTAAATTGTAAACATTCCACAGCAATTTTAGCCAATAATTTTCAAAAATAATAGCTCATACAGTCCATCCCATGTGCCTATATATATATAATCATCTTGTACAAAACGCAGTAACCACTAAAAAGCACCTCCATTACAATTAGTCTATATTTCTCTCCTTAACATGGAGCATTGCTATACTGACGCAACAATTACATCATCCTCTTACCCTTCCCCTATTCCTCTACGGTCACCTTCGGTGGCCAGCCCTTGCGCCGCTTGTAAGATCTTGCGGAGGCGATGTGTAGAAAAATGTGTGTTGGCACCTTATTTTCCACCAAATGATCCACTCAAGTTCACCATTGCTCACCGTATTTTTGGCGCCAGTAATTTAACCAAGGTCTTGCAGGTAATCTCTCTCTCTCTCTCTTGTATGTATGTATGTATGTATGTATAGTTTAGGACATGATTGATGCGTATAATGAACAACTCGACACGTTTAAAGCTCAGAAGAGTAGTCAAATTTGAATATTGATGTTCTCCAATTATTCACCTCTTGTTATGTCATATCATGGGAAAATCTCACCTCACATAGATTTGAAAATATAATCAACACATTAAGTGTCTGTTTGTTTCTGCTTCTTTCCGGATTTGTAATGATATTTTTTATCGTTTTATTCAAATTCATGGTACCCACTGTGAAAGAAAAGGTCAAAGATATCGGCTGAAATGTGTTGCAAAGGTATGAAAATCAATACCAGACAGACCCTAAGACTTGAGATAGTCTCTTCTAACGATTGATCTTTTAAAATGGAAATTTAAGACTCGTAGGAATGAACGTTCTTATAAAATCTTTATTTTTTCCCAAGCATTCCTACTAATATTTACAACTATTAAAGAATCAATATCTACTCTGTTAACAGGAACTGCCAGAGGCCGAAAGAGCCGATGCGGTGAGTAGTATGGTTTATGAGGCGAATGCAAGACAAAGAGATCCTGTGTACGGAAGTGCAGGAGTGATTTCCCAACTCCAAAACCAAGTTAATGAACTTCAACAGCAACTAGCAATGGCACAAGCTGAGATTGTCAATATGCAATCTCAACAAGCAAATCTTATGGCCCTCATTTGCATTGAAAAATGGCAAAAAAAAATTCCTCACCAACACCATTCCTATGACAATGATTACCAAACTAACATGAGCTTCCTAGATGAAAATCCTGGATCATTATTGGAGCATGTTTCGACATGATAATTTTATACATTCGAAGACAACTTAGGAAACACTGTATGGGATGAAACTAAAATCAAGAATTTCGAAGTCGAATTCTTGACTAGCGTTGTTTCATTGGAACTTATAAACTGTTAGTTCTAATGAAGTTTCAACTATTTCTTATATGTTTTTTCACCTAGTTACTTCACATTGCAATGAAATTTGAACTATGACGTTTATCAAAAGCTACACTTTAAGTTGAATAGTACTTTTATTGCTAACTACCCGCCAAGTTTCAATTGTAAAGACCCTAGTTATTTTCTTATCAAAATTCTATAACTGAAATTTTTATGTCTGATATAAAATATAATATAATATGAAAATAATCCTATGTGTTCAGTACTTTTAGATTATTTTATCTAATGAAATAAAGTTGAAAAGTCTCATCCATTAAATCATGTTCCCATATCATTTCATTGGAGTGTCCAATCGATTATTTGTCAATTGTTGAATTTTAAACAACTTTCAGGTCACCTAATGTTTTAACTACAATTTTTCAAATAAAAAATAACTAAATTTCTTTGTTGTTTAAATGATAAAAAAAATTAAATAAGATATTAGAAGGATATATTTAGCCCTGTTTGAGTCACATTATTTTTTTCATTCTTATTTTTCTACTCATTTTCAACCACACATTCTTCAATAAAATAATATTTTTCATCACATCAATAATTTTTCTTATTTTTTCAACCACATATTTTTNTTTTCATTTTCATTCTTTTACTTATTTTCAATCACATATTTTTCAATAAAATAATATTTTCTATCACATCAATAACTTTTTATTCTTTTTCAACCACATATTCATCATCACATCAATAGTAAAAATGCATTATTTTTTCAAAAATGTGCACCAAACGTGGGCTCAATTTGGACTTTTAAATCTTTCAATAAAAAATGGAGCAAAAATTTTTAGAATTTTTTTTTTTAAATGAACAACTTTTGCAGAACTTAATGATGATTTTTATAAAATTTTATAGAATGCCACGAGAAATTAAATATTGCAAAAAATTAAATATAGAATGGTACAAATTTGCATTTTAGGTGGGAACATTAATGTACATAACCGCTATTTACATAAACAATTGATTCGCAATAAATAATAACTGTTGGGGATGCGGGTTAAATATAAGTACGAGTAAAAGGATTGTTGTATATCGAACAAACAAAAAGCAAAGTTTAATTCGCAGAACGTGATTAAACAATATAACAAGGTGATTGTAAATGTAGAATGAAAACTACAGATGAAAACAAAGGGCAACCAAAAAATAAAGAAGAAGAACAATAACAACAATTCAAGGCAACTAATTTTCACTCTTTTCTTAAGAGAAAATTGCCCCGCAACAGTGCTCACGATTCACGGCACTTGTCTTCCAAGATACAACATATTCAACTTGTGGTAGAAGCATTTCAAACCATAAGTTACTACGAACTTTAAGCGAAGTTTCTCTCTACAAAGAAGAAAACGGTTTGGAATAAATTTGGAAGTAATTTGCAAGACTTTTTATGCAATGCTCTATGCAAATATGGTATGGGATACCTAATGGACGTCGAATGGGTCATATATATAGAGGATGAGGGATTGTGAATGAAGTGTTGCGTCCCATACTCAACAACTTTTGTCAAAGATTGCACCATTCACCGTCTCTAACATGTCGCCATCGCCTCGCTCTAGCGATAAAAACAGTAACTTCGTTAGGCGAGCGACACACTCAGGCAAATATCCGATAGTTTCCTCTATTTCTTCCTAATTTTGAACAACAATTTCTCATTCATCCGGAATTGGTTTTGAGATTTCAAATACACCACAATGATCTACTCGATGAGTAGAACATGTTGGTTTATTTATATTTGTAATTTGACCATCGTATCAAGTTTGAATATTTAGTCGAAGTTTACATGAAAGTCACTTTTCCAAAGTTTTTTTATTTTGACACTTAACCAAATTTTCAATCTTCTAAAACAATGTCCAACAATCCCCCACATATATGAAAATTCAAATATGCTCATGCTATATAAAAATATGATGCATTTGAGAGAGAGAGAGAGAGAGAGAGAGAGAGCATAAAAATACTGCATCAGGTAATGTAGCTTCCGGCCTTAAACTTTCCTTAGTAAAATACTATCGAATTTACTTGGATAATTGGTGAAGATGTCTTCAGTCATTCAGCTGTTGGTGTAAACCAAGACAATAATACTCACATAGATGTCTTCCCTGATCCGTTTATAGTTCCCATGACTTGATTCATTTTGGTCGTGAACCACAATTGGGTTTCATAAGTGTTTAGAGAATTGTAGCCTCGAACAATTCTCATTGAAGATGCCCCACTTCACACTTATATAGATAACCTCCTATAAAAAGTATTCTGTCATACTCAATTTAACTTAATCAAGATATGAATCATTAAAATAGTATCTTAACATTTAATCATTATGCAGAAAACACTTTAATATCATATGAACGAGTTAGGAAATAATTTCCTAAGTGCTTATTTGAATCCTTATAACTTAGTTCTCTCTTTGAACCAAAATCTTGGAATTTCCAGTCAACAAGGTAAGGTTACCATTATAAAGATCCTTACGTAGTAGACTTTAATCTCATTCCTTTCGATAGGCAACGTACTTGATCTCTAGGCAGACCTTTTGTAAATGGATTCGCAATGTTCTCCTTTGATTTCACATAATCTATGGAGATGATACCATTAGAGATTAGTTACATAATGGTATTATGTCTGCGACGTATATGTTTAGACTTACCATTGTACATGCTACTTCGAGCCCTTCCAATAGCCAATTGACTATCACAATATATACTTATTGCAAGTAACGACTTAGGTTAATATGAAATATCTTCCAAAAAATTACGAAGTCATTCTGCCTCTTCTCCAACTTATCCAAAACAGTGAACTCTAACTCCATTATTGATCGATCTATACACGTTTTCTTTGTCAATTTTCATAATATAGCAGCTCCACCAATGATACATAACCACTAGTAGACTTGGAATCCTTCATGTTAGATATCCAATTCACATCACAATATCCTTCTAATATTGCATGATATTTTTTGAAATGTAATCCATAGGTTAAGGTATACTTTAAGTACGTATGAACCCTTGTTCAACCCTTCCAATGATCATGGATTTGATTACTTGTGAATCTACTAAATTTATTCACAGCATATACTATACCCGATTGAGTGCAATTCGTAATATACATAAAACTGCCTATAACCTGTGAATACTCTAGTTGTGACACACATTCACCTATATTTTTGACTAAGTGTAAACTTTGGTCAATAGGGGTTTTTGCAGGACTTTCCTCGAGTATATTATACTTTTTCAGTACACTCTCAATGTAATTGGGAAAGTACGATTTTTTTCGATGTTCTAGAGATCTTAATCCCTAATATCATATTAGCAACACCAATATCTTTCATATCAAAATGCTTCGTTAGCAATTTCTTTGTTTTTAGTAACACTTCGTGACTATTGCTCATTAATAACATGTCGTCTACATATAGACATACAATCACATAGGCATTCGGTTTATGTTTTATATATACATACTTATCACACTCGTTTATCTTAAATTTGTTTGATAGAATCGTTTTTTCAAACTTTTGGTACCATTGTTTAGGAGCTTGTTTCAATCCATATAAGGACTTAACAATGTTTACAAACATTGTGTTTGTTATTAGGAGAAACGAACCCTTCGAGTTGTTCAGTGTATATCTCATCTTCTAACTCACCATTCAAAAATGTCATTTTCACATCCATTTGATTAATCTCAAGGTTGTGTATTGCGGCAATTGCAATTAACAACCGTATCGAAGTGATTCTAGTTACGGGTAAGTAGGTATCAAAGAAGTCAAGTCCCTCATTTTGCCTATATCCTTTGGCAACCAATCTAACCTTATATTTATTAATGGATTAATCCGGTTCAAGTTTCTTCTTAAAAATATATTTACACCCTAAAGACTTATTTCCGGGAAAGTAAATCAACCAACTCCTAAGTATGGTTTTACATTATTGAATTTATCTCACTATTGATAGCTTCTTTCCAATGCGGTGCTTTTGGTGTAGATATAGCTTTATCAAAAGTTTTTGGATCATTTTCTACCATATAGGTTAGAAAAATTAGGCCAAATGAAGTTGATATTCTTGCCCTTTTACTACGCCTTGGTTCTTCCTCATTTGAAATATCATTTATAGTATCATAAGTTCTTTTATTTGAACTTACATTTTCCTCGTTTTTACATGGAAAAACATACTCCAAAAATAATGCATTTCTCGATCCAATTATAGTTCTCTTATGTATATCTTGAATTTCATATCTGTGCACAAGAAATCGATATACACTACTATTATTGACGTATCCAACAAATATGCAATCAATCGTTTTGGGACAAATCTTTACTTGTTTAGGCTTAGAGATTTCAACATTAGCCAAATACCCCACTCTTTCAAGTGTTTATAAGAGGAGGATGGCATCTCCATAATTTATGTGGAGTTTCTTCCATTTTCTTGAAGAGTATTTTATTAAGAATACTAATTACCGTTAAAGTAGCTTCTCTCCATAAGTTATGAGGTGGACCCGAACTTATCAACATAACATTTATCATCTCTTTATGAATTTGGTTTTTGCGTTCAACAACACCATTCGATTGAGAAGAATATGGTGCCGTTATTTGATGAATAATTCCATGTTCGGAATAGAATTCTTCAAATGGTGTCCGTTATTCATCTCATCTATCACTACGAATATTCTTTATTCGTTTACCAAATTGAGTTTCAACTTTTCCCTAATAACGTTTAAACCGAAATTAAACTTTGATTCATAAGTTTGCACAAAGATTTGTAATTCACATATCCTAATTGACTATGCCACAAACATGACAACTTAAGCATATAAACGGAATTTAAATTTTACTCATAATGTTTTCCCTTGGTACAATAGTAAGAACGTTCATTTTGAACA